TTTTTTTTTTTAAAGGTTGTTCTTAAAGTTCAGAGTCCTAGACAAAACTTCATTCTACCTTTAGGTGGCAGAAATGTTACTACAGGAAATCCAGATGTTGAATGGGAATGGAATCAAGGGTCACCATCATCTCAGGGACAACAAACAGCTTACTTTTTGCCAGATTTCTTAATTCCACCTGTGGCTGCAGAAGGGGGGAAAAAATCAGTTAGAGAGTCTGACTTTCCTGCTATGGCTGGCTTCAAACAACCCTCCCAGGTCTCAGCCTCCTGAGAGACAAGTTTAATAGGTGTGAGCCATTGGTGTGTAGTTGGAAAAAAAAATAGTTCTTATAGACACAGCAATGACTGTATACTGTTTTACATCTACACTGTTGTGTACTTAACAAATTAGCTCATTTATCTTCCAGCCCCAGAATCCACTTTACAGCCAAGCCTTTATGTTTGGTGGTGTTCAAGGTTTCAAGCTAGTATGGGCAAACATGAGTGGCTTGACTTTTTTGAGACAGGTTCTGGCTATATAGTACCAGTTGGCTTGAAATTCATGATTCTTCTGCTTCAGCTTCCTGAGTGCTAGGATTAACAGGCATATGCTACCAATCCAAAATCTGGTGTACTCTTAATTGCCACACCACATTACCTATATCCCCTATTTTGTTCTTGGGGTCTGATTTGCTCAGGGCCTGTATTTTACTCAAATCCACAAATGGCAATACATTTGGCACCCAACAAGTAATTTTTTAAAAGCTGTAGAATTATTAATATTTTGTTGTGGTTGTTCAAAGGGATCGAACTCTAGGCCTCGGCACTGTCCCTCAGCTCTTCAGCTCAAGATTCTACCACTTGAGCCACAGCCATTTTCTGGTGGTTCATTGAAGATAAGAGTCTAATGAACTTTCCTGCCCAGGCTGGCTTTGAACCCTGATCCTCAGATCTCAACCTCTTTAGTGGCTACGATTATAGGTGTAAGCCACCAATCCCAGTTTAGCTGTAGAATTATTTCAAATGACAAGAATGAAGGAACAAGACTAGGATATTTTTTTTTCTTGGGGGGGGGGGAGGGAAGAGATAGGTCCTGGGGCTTGCACTCAGGGCCTGGGTTCTGTGTCTGAGCCTCTTTGAGCCCAAGACTAGTTCTCTACCTCCTGAGGCACAGCATCACTTCCGGCTTTCTCTGAGTAGTTTATGGGAAATTAAGGGTCTCACAAATTTTTGGCTTTGAATTGCAATCCTCAGATCTTAGCCTCCTGAGCTAGGATTACAGGCATGAGCTACCAGTGCCTGGCTGACTTTTTTTTAAAGGTTTACTGGGGTTTGAACTCAGGGTCTTCTGCTTTCTAAACAAGCATTCTACCACCTGAGTGCTGTCCCCCTCTCTTCCCCCCCCTAGACCTGGGGCTTGGACTCAGGGCCCGGGCACTGTCCCTGAGCTTCTTTGGCTCAGGCTAGCACTATACCACTTGAGCCACAGCACCACTTCCAGCTATTTGTGGTACTGAGGAATTGAACCCAGGGCTTCATGCATGCACTCTACCACTAAGCCACTTTCCCAGCCACCCCCACTTTGTTTTTAGGTATCTCTCAGATAGGGTCTTTTTTGCCTTAGTGGGCCTGGACTACATGTAGTTTTCCTTCTTTATGTCTCTTGCCTTAGTGGGCCTGGACTACATGTAGTTTTCCTACTTTATGCCTCCTACATAGCTGGATGATAGACTGCACTATCATGCCCAGCTTTATTCATTTAAGAGTCTCCCTAATCTTTTTTTGGCCCAAGCACACTTTCAACTATCTTCTCCCCTGATTTCCTGAATAGCAAAGATTACAGGTATGAGCCACTACCTTAGACAAAATAAATCCTAACAAAAATTAAGCTGGTCAGCTGGGCACCAGTGGCTCACGCCTGTCATTCTAGCTACTCAGGAGGCTGAGATCTGAGGAATGCAGTTCAAAGCCAGCCCAGGCAAGAAAGTCCATGAGACTCTTATCCCCAGTAAACCACTAGAAAACTAGAAGTGGCGCTGTGGTTCAAGCAGTAGATCACTGACCTTGAGCTGAAGAGTGCAGGGACAGCGCCCAAGCCCAGAGTTCAAGCCCCGTGACTGACCATAAAAAAAAATTAAGCTAGTCATGGTGACATATGCCTGTAATACCAGCACTTGGGGAGGTGTTTGAAGGCATCCTAGGCTACATTACTAAGGAAGAAAAAAGGATGTGCTCAATCAGTACTGGTTAGGTATTCCTCTAAAATGCTGGGAACAGGAGTGTTTCAGATTTGGTGATCTTTTCATATACAGAATGAGATACTTGTGGATGGGATCCTAGTCTACAGTGCAAGATGCTTGACATTCTGAAAAGGTGTTTTCAATAGCTACACCCTCAGTGCAGTGTAAACACAATAATGGAAAGCCAGGCACCAGTGGCTCCTGCATGTAATCCTACTCAGAAGGCTGAGATCTGAGGATCTCAGTTCAAAGTCAGTTGGGCACAAAAGTCCCCAAGGGAGTATCATCTCCAATGAAGCACCCAAAAACCAGAAGTGATGCTGTGCCTCAAGTGGTATAGGAATAGCCTGGGGCACAGAGAGGCTTGGGGACAGCCCCCAAGTCCTGAGTTCCAGCCCCACAATTTACAAAAAAAAGAAAAAAAGCACCTGACATGAGATGGTTAACTCCTCTGTACACATCTTAATAACAATAAGATTATATTTAAAAAACAAGGGAAAAAGACACACAAAGAAGAGAAAGTATTTGGGAAAAGAGAATTAAAAACTAACAATAATGGATCAAAGTCACTGGAACAGAGGTCTTGAGAAGACCTGAGTAAGAGTTCCATTATTCTTGCCTCCATTATGCCCTGCATATTTATGTGCTTAAAAAGCACATAAAGAAGCCAGGCACTGGTGGCTCACGCCTGTAATCCTAGCTACTCAGGAGGCTGAGATCTGAGGATCACAGTTCAAAGCTAGCCCAGGCAGGAAACTCCGTGAAACACTTATCTCCAATAAATCACCAGAAAACTGGAAGTGGCGCTGTGGCTCAAGTGGTAGAGCACTAGCCTAGAGCTGAAGAGCTGAGGGACAGCACCCAGGCCCAGAGTTCAAGCTACATGACTGACAAAAAAGAAGCACATAAAGAGGCTGGGATATAGCTTAAGTGGTAGACTGCCTGACTAGCATGAATGAAGCTCTGAGTTCAATTCCTCAGTACCACATAAACAGTGGCACTGTGGCTTAAGTGGTACAATGCTAGCCTTGAGCAAAGAAGCTCAGGGACAATACCCAGGCACTGAGCTCAAGACCCAGGACTGGCAAAATAAAAAAAAGCCAAAAGTTGAGGCAAAAGTGGAGGTGTGGCTCAAGTGGTAGAACACCACCCCTGAGTGGAAAAAAGCTAAGGGTTAGGGCCCAGGCCCAGTTTAAGCCAAAGTACAGCATTGGAAAAGGAAAAGAGAAGGGGGCCGGGCACGGGTGGCTCATGCCTGTAATCCTAGCTAATCAAGAGGCCGAGATCTGAGGATCGCTGTTCAAAGCCAGCCCAGTCGGAAAGTCCTTGAGGCGCTTATCTCCAGTTAACCACCAGAAGACTGGAAGTGGCTCTGGGGCCCAAGTGGTACAGCACTGGCCTTGGGCTGAAGAGCTCAGGGACAGCGCCCAGGCCCAGAGTTCAAGCCCCACAACTGACCAAAAAAAAAAAAAGTATGAAAGAAGGAAAAAAAGAAAAAAAGGAAGCACATAAAACAGGGCTGGGAATGTGGCTTAGAAGTAGGGTGCTTGCCTAACATGCATGAAGCCCTGGGTTCAATCCCTCAGTGCCAGCCACAGCCCAGGCCCTGAACTCAAGCCCCGGGACTGGCAAAAAATAAAAATAGATAAAAAGCACATCAAACATTAGGACTGCTGGGCCAGAAAGTCTTTTAAAATGTAACACATTCCTCTTATACCAGGGGAAAAAAAGACAAAATAATGCAAGTGGGGGGGGGGTGTTTAGGTCAGAAAAGCACAAGGAGTAATAAAGCAAGCCCGGGAGCCTGGACTTTTTATCTTTTAGCCTCGACACACCCACAACTGACTCAAGAAAAGAGGGAGAGAAAAAGCCATTTATTACAAGAATAGGAGTAAAAAAAAAAAAAACAATGTTCAAAGCAGCAGAGGCGGTAAATGGCACATGTGGGCAAAGAAAATTGTGGACGCTGGCTTAGCAACCAACCTACGTGAACCTGGGGATCCCTGTCCGCAGGAATGGGAACCCGAGGCTGCCCAGGGTGCCGGCCCGGATCCCCCCGTCCTCCCCGGCCCGGATCTCCCCCACCTTCCCAGCTCGGATCCCCCCCTCCTCCCCGGTGAGCCACTTACCGAGGGGCCCCTTCCCCGCGGCCTTCGCTTTCAGCTCCTCGAGTTTCTTCTGCTCCTCTTTCTGTTTCTGCTTGAAGGCCTTGTCTTCCTAGGGGAGGAGGCCACGCGCGATCACT